AACCGGTAGCTAGAGCAGATAGGAGGTCTTACAGGTTCGATGACTCGCCCTTCGGTGTGACTGCGGTGTCTCGGTCCTTGGCGAGGGGGGGTGTCCTCTCCTCGGTCTCGTCGGCGCTCTCTCTCTCTCCTCTCTCTTTCGTCCTCGCCTGCACGCTCGCTCTCGTACTCGCCGGTACACTTGCCCTCTCACGCGCGCACTCTCTCTCCCCGCTGCGCTCGCTCTCTCACACGTGCACTCTCTCTCTCGACCGTCCGCTCTTCCGCGCTATCACCAACAGCTCGGAAAAAGAAAAGACTTGGGATCGGTACTACGAAAGTCAAGTGAATCGTCTCGTCGCAACAGTGGCCGATAGGAGATTGCTCGCTCCGATCGCCCTCGTCCTGTCGATCGCTGATCCGCTCCTCCGCCTCCGCCGCCCCTCTCGTCTGCTCTCAATCCTTTTGTGGTCTCGAAAATTCGGTAGCCTGGATTATTATTATTCGAGACTGTTCTTCTCGCCGGCGTATTTCGTGGCCTTGATCCAGTGGCACTGTTTCCCGTCTCAGCTGAGTGGGCCCCCCTAACCCCTCGAGAAATGTCAAGCTGAAAACGTAAACAGTACGACAGCTCTGGCTCTCGGCGTGATGGCGGCAATTATCGCGCTGCTGAATATTCGTGATCGATCGAATATTTCGGCACGCGATATACGATTCCAGAATATTCTCTGTCCGATAGTGATCGAATTTTCGAGAACTATTCTGGCAATCGACGGAAAAGAAGATCGTTATCCTGATCAGGAGCGTATTCACCTGAGCGGTGGCGATAGTGGTGTAGGCGATGTTCTCTCGTCCCACGGCGTCCTCGGCTTCCCTCCTCTTCGCTGGTCGACCAAAAGGGGAGCCTGGGGGCACAAAGCTCGGGGCGCGATGACCTCTCTATCTACCCCACGAACTTTCCGAATTGCTTAACTGCCGGCGGACGCCGGCGTACGCGAAACAAAACGCGGGCTCGGTCGCGGCGGCGAAAATATTCGCGAAATCAGTTCTTATTACTTTGTGACGGGTGCCTCCATGGCCGCCACGTCACAATATATATACACATATTTATATTTATTATTAATCATATTTGCAGGTCAACATTGCATCAATTTCGATATCTATCGATATCGGTCTTAATTGCGCACGTGACTCGGATCTCCGATCCACGCTTCATGTCGAAAAAGAATCAGCGGGAACGACTTCGGTACGAGTCGAGAGAGTGAGAGGGAATGATTTCTTTTTGTCACTCTGCGCGAGACAGGCAACTCACGCGACGCTCGACACGGATAGACGGAGCGCTCAGTGTGTGCATAAGGGGAAGGCCGCATGGAGAGGGTACTCCGCTTTGCAAGTCGAGGCTCGGAATCCCAGCTCTGGTTCAGTGTATGCGGTGCAACCGTCGCACAGTGGGCCAGAATCATGAAAACTGTGGCCAAAATATGAAGCCATTGTTCGATTTTTGTAAAAATTGATATATAAATGTTTTCGACGTCGCTGATTACGAATCTGAAGTGAAATTAAAAAAAAACAAAATGGCGGATCCAATATGGCGGATGCGTATATTAAAAATTGTAAAAAGTGACTAAAAACTTGATATCGCGGGGTTTTTGACATCGCTGATCACGAATTTGAAATGGAAATAAATGAAAAGAACGTAGTAGAAGCAGAATATAGGACTGAAATGTGAAAAATCGTATGACTTTGGGAAAAATAAAAGTATTTATTGTTTTTGGTTCAGTGAAGATAGAAAATATATATTTTCAATTATTATTTGTACATTAAAATGTTGTAAATGAGTTAAAAAAAATTTTACAAACAAAAATCTTCGTCATTATCAGAATCGCAATTAGCATCGGATTCATTATCAGTAACTGACGATTCGCTGTCATAATTAATAGCAATTTGTAAATTATCAGTGCTCGATACAGGAATTGTCGGAGAAGTTAATAATTCGAGGGCTTGTGGTAATAATGATTTTAAAGATTTTCGTGGTTGTTGTCGTAGACTTGAAATATACGGATCTGAAGTAATCATCAATCATTTAAAAACATCTTCCATCGTTTTTTCTCTAGAGCATTTTCGCGCAAAATCTTCACGAAATCTTTTAATATCTTTATTACGTGCCTCTTGTGCTTCTTCGGATAATTGTCCAATAGGCAATAAAAAGTGTTCTATAATTTCCGGGCCGTGAATTAAAAGTTTATGGACTGATGTCGGCATGTAATACCATGGATATAATTCTACGAACTTATTGGCAGTTTCTAAAGAATATGCTCTAAATAATTCCTTATCAATTTCGAATCCACTAGAGATAACTTGCAGAATGACGTGAAATCGATTTATCAAGCTTTCGGATACGCCTGTTATTGTGGCTGATACTGTAGAATTTTCGAAAAAACGTCTTGCCGTATTGCCGTCATTGGTACTTCCACAACCAGGCTTTGGACGATCGACTATTAATCCTAATTGTGTTCGAAAACCTGTTTAAATGATCTTACGTGACTGAATGACTTACGTGTGTCGACAATTTCTCTTTCTTCGTCAGAATTTACTCGCCATTTTTTAATTGTAAGTTTGTACGATAAATGCAAACAGCATTCAAAAAGACGTATCCAGGCATGCAGTGTCGAAATTCCAAATCGGAGATTGCTTGTTTCTACTTTTCTTTGTAGCATCTTACGTATATCATTGAAGTCCTTGGATGTAGCATCGCATAAATAACATTGTAACGTTGATTTCGTTTCTGACACCGCATTACAAACCTTATTGTCAATCATCGTGAAATTCATGTTATATTGAACGCGGATCTCCATGCCATGTACTTGTGTCACAAGAGGATTAAGCGAATCTATTTGTTGTTTGATATTAACAACTTCATGAGCTGTTGTTTCATCATTTTCATGTTCAAATTGTAGTCTTATTGGTCTACAGAATCTAGGAGATGATGTTCTAGGATTCTGCCATATTACAAGATTTATATCTAATTCTTCGTCTTTACAAACAAGTTGTAATGGCACAAATGACGTG